AGAGTTTGTGTTAGTGGAAAGCAAAGGACAGGAGGAATGGTTTGAGAGAATGATCTGCAAGAGAATTGCATAAAGTGTTTCAGTTGACAGGTTGACCAGAGTAGAAGCTTTGTATTTCTAGCATTTCTGTTGGTAAGTAAACATAATATTGAAAGCGTAAATCCAGGCCTACCTATGGAAGGGCCCTGAATGTCATAAGGGATTTGAAATTTGCCCTTCTAGATGATGGACAACACTTAGACCTACAGAGCAAGTAACAAGCAGTATTTTAGAAAGGGTACTACTTTGTCGTTGGTGTAGGCCTAAAAAGAAATTTCTAACAATAACAGTCTCTTTATGTATGTGATTCTGTCCCGGGCTAGATAAACGGATGCTTATCCAAGGTAGCTAACTCCAGATTGTACTACTGACGTGGAACAAATGCCAATGATCCAAAAGCCTCCATGGGTGTCAGGATATGAATAAAGAAGAAAAGAACATGAACATAGAACAAAAAGTAGAAGTACCTTTGAGCAGTGTTTGGCTTTAGGGCAGAAACATCAATGTGTTTGAAACAGGAACAGGCAAGCAGCGGTAGTAATTTCGACCTCAAATAAGTATGAAGAGATTCCTAAAATGCCACTAAGATACAATTGGCAAGTATAGTGATGCTAAATTTACCATTTGATAATGCTGGTTAGAATACTAGTAATAGGTGCATTGAGGAATCAGGTGAGTGATAACGTATCTAGTAAGGCATTGTCAAAAATTGTATCCAGTGGCAATGTTGAATTTATAGAGGACCTGGAAGAAAATACGTTATTTATGATGCATCTGGTTTCTAATTTACCCATCAGGGAGCCTTCATGTGGTATATTACTATAATAAAACAAAATCTCTCCCCCCGCCCCGTATCCATCTTTACACATGGCTTCTTTCCTTTAAACCCACAAATGTAGGCAATTTTATTAATTCTCTAACTCACCTCTATCTATTCAATCTTCTTATTCCTTTTATTCAAGGAATTATAATTGCACCAGTTATACAGAATTTGACCACATCTGCTTCCCTTATTTGTATCTTATTCTCTATTACATTTCTTGACTTAATAAAATTACTTTCCATAATTACTTTTCACAGAGGTTCAAACCAGATATTGTTAACTTTTTGAGTCTGTGAGCATGTACTTCCATCACATATGCATGTTTATAATTTCAAATAATTTTCAGTCTTTTAAACTTATGAATAACATATGTAATTTAATGTGTATAGGTGAAATACCTTTTCAGAGACTTTTCTGCCTTCTGTATACTTATTTTTTCATTAGTTTAAGATAAAACATGATCTTGACTGCTATTAAAAAACAAATACCTTTAATCATGTCATTACATTGATCTGTATTTGTGACATTGAGATAATTGAATTTTAGTAGAACTGAAGCAATGATAAATTATCACGAAAAATGCCTATCATGACAAACAGTGTATAAAAACACAGCTTATAAAATTTGCTTTATTAGATTCATAGGTTTAGTAGTGATAATAATAAGAAAAGGGACTTTTGCCGCTGCATCAATTAAGTCAGGGAATAATGGATTACACTGGTACCTTTTATGTTTTTCCAAAAATTCACTTTCAAAAGTTAATTTTAAATAAAGAAGAAGCATTAATTTGATTCAAAGAACAATAAATTACTAGATGAAATGGTATTAAAAAGTTTAATGTGGATGATTAAATTTTCCTCATCGATCTACAATGCTATTGATATTTTAAGTAATTATAAAGCAGTGTGCGTCAGATGGCAAAATCCAGTTAATAGATCCAGGGACACTAATCTAATAATCACGTTTATTCGATCAAAGAAAATAGTCTGTAGTGTTTGAAATTGCCTTTTCTCATTTTCATCATGGAATATATTTTATGAAAATTACCCCTTTAGTTGTTAAGAGGAAAAGTACGTCTTTATTAGAGTTCTCACCTTTAAATTAGTTTCTCCACTCATTTTTTGTACTCCCTCCTAAAACCATTATAGAAGTATGAAATACTGCTTTCATTTGCACCTGCAACAAGACTTTCTTAGTTGGATTGCATGCATTTACTATCTTTCTCTCTCCTCCAAACCTTCAGTGGCTTCCTACTGCCTTTAGAGCAGAAATTGCAACTACTAATCCTGAAACTTAAGGTGCTTCCTCACCTGTTTTCTACCTTTCATTCTCACTATTATTTCCCATTCAACTCATTTTCTATTCATATCAGGAATATCTCTCCTCTGCACTCCCCACCCCTTTATTGTCCAAGGCTAGGATCATCTCCTGTTTCTCTACTCTCCAACTTGGAGAGATAAGTTATCTTGACCTCCTCAATAAAGTATTCTGTAATTTTCTTTTTCTTTTTTTCACTTTGTGTGATGCTTGAAATATCTTTTCTTCTTTAAATTATAACTGTAATAAATTATACTCTTCCATAAATTATACTCTAATCTTTTGCATGACAGGGGTCATGCAATGTGATTTTTTTGTATTCCCAGGTGTTAGCATAGTGTCCTGCAGGTGTTCAAGAAGTGGACGCTGAAGATACACAGACATACCTCAGAGATACAGCAAGCTCAGTTCCAGACCACCACAATAAGGAGAAAGTGATTATTACCATAAAATGAATTACATAAAATTTTTATCTTCCAGTACATATAAGTTACTTTTACACTATACTGTAGTCTATTACAAGTGTAATGCCATTATGTATACAATGATAATGTACATATCGTATGCAAAAAGTATATTATTGTTACCATCCCAGGCTTCAGGGGGTCATGATCTTTTTGCTGATGGAGAGTCTTACTTCAGTGTTTATGGCTGGTTTGTATTCAGGGTGGTGATTGCTGAAGGTTGAGATGACTGTGGAAAACAGTGAAGTTTGTCACACTGATTGACTCTTCTTTTCATGAAAGACTTCGCTGAAGTGTTACAATGTTGTTTGAGACCATTTTACCAACAGTAGAATTTCTTTCAAAATTGAGGTAAATCCTCTCACCCTTCCTATGGTAATATTTTACATCCTTTGTTGTCATTTCAACAATATTCGCAGCATCCTCACCAGGAGTAGATGAAACTACTTTCTCAAGAAACTTCTTTCCTTGCTGATCCTTAAGAAGCAACTCCTCAATTCACGTTTTACCCTGAGATTGCTGCAATTCAGTCACATCTGCAGGCTCCAATTCCAACTACAATTTCCTAGTTATTTTCACTCCATCTGAAGTTACTTCCTCCACTGAACTCTTGAGTTCTTCAAAGTCATCCAGGAGTGTTGGAATCAATTTCTTCCACATTCCTGTTAATGTTGAAATTTTGACTTCTGCCCATGAATAACAAATGTTCTAAATGGCTTCCAATATGGTGAATTATTCCTAGAACACTCAATTTCCTTTGCCCAGATCCATCAGAGGAATCACTATTTGTGGAAGCTATTGCCTTACAAAATGTATTTTTTAAATAATAAGACTTAAAATTTGAAAAACTCCTTGATCCATGGGCTGCAGAATGGATTTCGTGCAGTAGACATGATAACAACATTCATCTCCTTGTATTTCCCATCAGAGTTCTTAGGTGACCAGGAGCATCATTAATGAGCAGAAATATTTCAAAATACTTTTTTTTCCTGAGCAGTGGTTTTCACAAAAAAAGGGAACATACTATAAAATCATAGTATAAACAGACGTGTTATCATCCAGGCTTTGTTATTCATTGTTAGAAAATAGGCAGAGTAGATTTAGCATAAATTCCCTAAAGTTGTTGGGATTTTCTAATGAGAAATTATTGTTCAGCTTTAAGCTTCAATTTAAAGTCACCAGTTAAATCAACCTCCACCGCGAGAGTCAGCCTGTCCTTTGACGCTTTAAAGCAAGACATTGACTTCTTCTGTCTTGCTGGGAAAGTCCTAGCTGACATCTTCCTATAGAAGGCTGTTTCATCTACTGTGAAAATCTGTGTTGTTTACTGTAGCCACCTTCCTCAATGACGTTAGCTAGATCTTCTGAAGAACTTGCTGCAGCTTTTTTATCAGCACTTGCTGCTTCACCTTGCACTTTTTTTGTTATGGGATGACTTTCTTATTCTCAGGAACCAGCCTCTGCTAGCTTCCAGCTTTTCTTCCACAGCTTTCTCACCTCTCTCAGCTTTCAGAGAATGGAAGAACTTGCTCTGAGTTAGGCATTGACTTAAGGGAATGTTGCAGCTAGTTTGATAATCTATACAGACCACTATAACTTTCTTGATATCAGTAATAATGTTATTTCACTTTCTTATCACTTGTGTGTTTACTGACACAGTTTTCAATTTCCTTCAGAATTTTTGCTCTGCATTCAGACTTGGCTAACTGGCACAAAAGGCCTTACTTCTGATCTATCTTAGCTTTTAACATGCCATCCACAACGCCATCCTCACTCAGTTTATTCATGTCTTTCTATTAAATGTGAGAGATGTGCAATTGTCCCCTTCGCTTGAACACTTAGAAGCTACTATAGGATTATTAATTGGCTTTGTTTAAATATCATTGTGTCTTGAAGCTCAAGGAGAAGGGGAGAGATAGGGAATAGCTAGTATGTGGAGCAGAGAGAACACACACATTAGTTAATTAAATTTGCACTATTATATGGTTGTTCATGGCACCCAAAATCATTGTGATAGCAACAGTAAAGATCAGTGATCAGAGATCACCATAACGGTTACAACAATAAGGAAAAAGTTCAAAATATTGCAAGAATCAACAAAATTCCAGGAAACACATTGTGAGTGCATGGTCTTGAAAAATGGCACTGATGAGCTTGTTCAACACAAGATTACCACAAACCCTCTACTTGTTAAAAAATTCAATCTCTGTGAAGTGCAATGCAGTCCAGGGCAAAGAAACTGCCATGCATTGCCTGACAGAAGTAAAATTTCTCTTTTGTTTTGCTATTTGTTGTTTGAGCCAGGGTTCTTGCATCTTGCCTGGGCTGGCCTCACACTCCTGGGCTCAAGCTGTTCTCCAACTTCAGCCTCAAGAGTTTCTGAGATTGAAGGCACACACCACAGTGTCCCAATGTCTCTCTTAAAACAAATTCTAACATTAATGAAATACTTGAGTTTGGTAGATGCATTTTTTTATTTACTAGTAGAACTAAGAATTATTTTTCATACTTTAGTGTTATCTCTTACTATACCATAACCTGAATTTTAGGTGAATCATTTTCTAGCTAATTAAAACATGATTTATGCATACTATATTCATCATAACATTTATTAAATCATTAATTTACAAAGTCATAAAATATTTAAGTTGAAAAGACTATAGACATTACTTACATCCCATTTGTAATTTTATGAATGATAAAAATAAGATTAAGAACATCTAAGTAATGAAAAAAACCATGGCTAGAATGCAGCTATCTCTGGTTAAATAAATGGCCAGAGTAAGGAATGATGAAGGGACAAAATCCTGAAATAAATCAAAAAACTCATAGTTTATAAGATGGAGGTGTCTGAAATGGAACACATTTTGAAAATAAGGATGCTTGATTCATCAGCATTCATCATCATGAGTTTCTCAGGTATACAAATGATATTATAAACAAAGCTGACTAAGTTCTACAGGTCAACTAAACACTGAGTCCTTCCATCAAATATATAGATACACAGTGTAAATAATCCAAAAACTGAACAAATAACATAATAAAAATGTAAAGCATCAGTTTGAATTAAGGTTGCCTTTATTTACTATTGCACAATTATTCGCTTTGTTTTCTCTTGTTAGGTACTTAATCCGACCAGATCCACTGGCATACCTTCCAAACAGTGAACCTAGTAGAAGAAACAGCATCTGCAACGTCTCTGGTCAAGACTCTCGGGAGGAAACACAGCTTTGACAAGAAAGAAATAAGAGACTCAGTTTTTTTTCTTACAAGGATCTTGCTTATTACAATAAAAGTGTTACTGGCATGAAAGAAACCAGATTGGAATATATTAAATTCTCTCATATTTAAAAGCATAATCTAATCGCTTAGAAATATATATCATTTTGAATCTTAATGTTCTACTTTTTGGCACTCCCCCTCATAATATTTGAAAGATATGAGACGATTTTGAAAACCGACATTAAAACATAAAAATTTGAATATGATTTTTGTTTTATAATAAGCCAAACCATATAAAGCTGATATTTAAAAGTCGTAAGATTTTATGAAAGCCGACTAAAATCTAACTCTATTTGGTGCATCATGATGGACATAGGAGATTGCTGCTCCCCTTCAAAATTAAATGTCGTATTATATTTTCTTTTTTTGGTTCTTTATAAAATTTAGCTTATCCTCAATGTCTAGGCTTCTCTCCGGAGAGACTGACCAACAAACTTGTAGGGCTGACTTTTGTGTAACAATGATAGTTTGCATTAGAATATAAATCATTAAGTCATTTTAACCATTTTTATCTGCTCTTTATACATCACAATCACATTCATTTTAGAATTTGAGCATGTTTTAGTATGCTAAAGAAACTAATATATAAACAAAAAGAAATATTACATGCTAGAGCTTCTTGGTAACTTTATGCCTAGCACACATTTTATGCCAAGAACAGTGCATAGCACAATGCCTAGCACACAGAAAATACTCAGTACAGATTTGTTGACTTAATTTTAATCCAAGAACTGAAATAATGCCTGGGTTTCTTGAAATATAAAGTAATTTTCATCAAACTTTTGAGTTATAACATTTTTTCATCTATTCATATAATTTCATTAGGAAACTACTTTAAAGTTGACAAAAAAACAAAAAAACTTATGCCTTTCATGGAGTATAAAGATATTTCAAAAGTTAAAAGTCCTCCTTATGTCTTTAATATTAAAATAATCACACTCCAGAGATGGTGTATTAATTTGCTTTAATTTTGAAAAATTGTCTAAAGGAATACATTTTAACACTATAAGAGAAAAGCATAAAATAAAAATACAGAGTTATCCTTTAAATTTGATATAATTCATGAAAAGTTTGATGGTTACAAATTTAAATATAAATTGTTCTTTGCTGACACCTTGCAGTATTGTTTTATTTTCATACCAATATAGACCAAAAAGCACAAGAGAATCAATACATAGTATATGTTAAAATATTCCTATGCACAAGAGATCGACAAATTTTTAAAAACATATTTTCCTCTAATTTTGCATTTTTGTTTGTTTTGAATTTGACATTAAGTTTTAGTTCAACAAAAAATAGGACATATAAGTCTAGAAAGAGATATTTTGTCCTTATTATGAAGCAGACTAATCAAAATAAAAACTAACTTTTACAAATGTCTAATGCTCTCTCAATAAATCTATAGACATTAAAGATCATAACCACTGTATGATTAATTTGGCTTATAAAATATGAAATGTCTTTTCTGTAGAATTGTACATTATCCACATTTTAGAATAAGAAGAACATGAAGAATTTCCCCTAAAACAGAGAAAACCTATATTTGATCAGAGACGTAGAATTTATAACAAGTTACTTAAAACTGGGAGCATGCCTTAAAATGCAAAGATTGTATGCATATATATGTGTATATGTTATAAACATGTGAAATATATTTGGCAAACATGGATTTACATATAAATTGTTAAAACTGAAGGCAGAATTGAACTAATACATGTAAAGGAGAAAAATAATGAATGTAATGACCTGGTTTCATAGTTACACATTATATAGTCCAGCATAATGTTTCTTTGAATTGATTTTTTTTTTATTCCATGACATTTATTTTTAGGAACAACATTAGATTTAACAAATCTTTATTTCCCCACAGATCTGAAGTTTAGTATTTTTGTGACAGTGTCAAGAGTAGGATTTTAAGCTAGGACATAATTATATTTCCTATGTAGCTAAGAATTTTGTTTCATAAATTTTAAAATAATTATTTTTGACTATGACTATTAGTCCAAATTTAATATTTGACACAATTCATATCAGCTTGCTATAATAATGATAGTTTATTAGTCTATATGATGTTCAAAGAATAAAAAAATGCTTATAAAAAGACTTTTAACGGACGGTTGCCTTTTTAAAATAATTATACTTGCACATGAAAATAAAACATAAAGTCAATAATAGTCTTTGTAGCCCTATGGGATTTGGTTCTGTTTTGTCTATTTATCATTTTGCTACTAGTTACATTGAGTTGCTTTAAAATAAATAATAAACTTATTTCTGATGAAAGAAACTGTTGGTGTTTATTGGCAAAACATTAGCTGCTTAAATTTTTTTCATGAACTAGAAAATTTGTTATTTTTATATTTTAAATTAAAATATACGTGGAGGCAAACTCTTTGGAAAAGACAGCAATGAATGCTATGGTCTATTGTTGGATGGCTTCTTAATATCATATACTCGTAATAGATTGCACCAGGTCAGGAAAGGAAACGGGAGGAACGAAGATACAGGGAGTGTGAAGATAGAAAGGAGGAAATGAACAAGGGGAAGAAAAGAAGGAGGAAAAAAAAGGAACATGGGGGTGTGGTGAGGGGTGGGTGCCAGAACATAAATATGCTTTACCAAACAGAGAATGATGTCCAAATACACTAATTTAAGAGCCAAAAAAACACTGTGTTAGAGAAAAGAAAAATAGTTTAAGATGCAGGTATTCTACCTTTCACTTCCAGGCAAATAGATGGAGTAAACACACTGCTTTCTCCCTAGTCATTCTCTAAGTACAGATAAAAAACATAGACATTATATACAAAACAGACAGAGACTGAGCAGTGGAAAGAAGAACAGCATGGTGGTGAGTTCTCTGAGATTTCTTTCTGCCTCTTACCCATATTGTGTCCTAATGTGGATATTAGGAAACCCCAGTGACCACAGACTAAATGTGACTCAAGCTAAGTCTGCTTTCTCCTTCCTGAGGACTGGCTCCTGCAGCAAACGCAGCCTCCCTGGCTCCAGACTTCCAGTGCTTCTGCAGTGGGATGGCTTCCCCAGAGAATGATTCCTAGAATATACAGAGGTCAGCACACGCCATGGCCCGAAGCTTCCCTTAGCACCCTGTCAGATGGTTTTGCAGTGGAGTGTCTCCAGTTTGATGCTTCCCCATGAAAAGCTTGCTCTGGCACCCTAGACAGTAGATTTCCAGCTTGTGTTGCCAATGCAGCACTATAATGACTTCTCTGCCATTCTGTGAGTCTCAGCTGTGCCATCTCCATGGGGTCTGGATTTCAGTCCTGGGATCTCTTCCTGGGGCACTTTATCTCAGCCCTGAAGATAATAGATACTCCTTATATCTGCTATTGCTCTATATTTTCAAGTTCTCTTTACTTATTACTCACTAATCCGGTATTACTCCACTGTACTGTTCAAGTTAATAATCTCTCCAGAAAATGGTCTCTATCCAAATCACTGTGTGGTTTCTGTCTCCCAACAGGGCCTCGACTGACAAATGATGCATAAATCAGCAGTTCTCTACTTATTAAATGTGAATAATAATATCAAATTTGTAGGACTGAAAATCTAAAAGACATATTTAAAGCAAATTTTACAAAGTAAACAGCACCTGCTGGAAAACTTTTCAGACAGATGATGCAATAATCGTTTGGAACATAAGGCTATTTTTATTTCATTTTGATCTCGTTTATTTTTTTGTATGGGACTGCTTTCCGGTCTATTTCATTTGGGGGAGGAAATAGTAGGACATGCCAGCTCTAATTATGTAGTTGAATCTAAGATTACAGCAAACAGTTCTTATAAGAAGTAATTTGGTTTATAATTATATGTACAACATTATTATTCCATAAAATCGTATTTTTTACTTAAATCTAAAAAATCGATTTTTCTTATCTAAGGGTAAATATTAGAAATTCTCACCAATTGCAATATTATTAATCCAAATAAATATAGTGTTATTTAATAGAAAGATACATATTTTCTCCTTTTTGTATCAGACAAAATGTTTCATTTAAGTGATACCAACCTCGATAAATTTGTATTTGGAAATTACATACAATTTCAAAAGAAAACACCTTTAAATTAAAAGACTATCAGTCCTTGATTTGTATATGATTGATATCCAGATAAATTAAGAAAGTTTGAGTGGGTCAACAGAATACAAAGATATATTTTCTTCTCTAAAAATTTTCAACTGGCAAATGACAGAACCTATAAATATTCATCAATAGACAGGAGGTAAGTACTGAAGTTGAGTTTATAAATACAGAGTATAGCCACATAGGCACTATTATATTAAATTTTACTAAGAAAATGTTTTTAGAGTTGTAAGTACTGTTTATTACTGATTATTGTCTTATTTGGAAAATATATTAATTTGAATTGCATATAATAAATTTCAAATTTTAATTGAGATTTTAGACTGAGTACCTCTTTCAAAAGATCTATCAATCTATCACGTGATTTCACAAAGAAACTGAAATGCTGTGATATATATGAGGTAGGACGGATTTAGTTATACTGTATATAATAGATAAACACCATACATATTAATGCATAGTCTCAGATGCTTTTGTATAATAAAAATTATTTTCATCTGGAATAGTGCCCAATGCAGGAAATAAAGTTTTCAGACAAAAGATTTTATGAATACATATTCATTGGAATAATATAAATATTCAAATAATTTCAGTAATGTAAATATAACAAATATTTATTGCCTTTAAAAAGAATTTAAACAGGTTTAAATCAGGGAGAAATAATAACTATTTGACAACATATTTCAATTTCTAGATGAACTAAAGTTTTAGAATAAACTTTAGAACTAACAGCTATAAATGACTTGATTTTGATACTAGAATATCTTATGATAACTTTTTAATGAAAACTAATTGATTTTTAATGATTCTGGCAAAAAGCATGCTGTGAAATGACTATGAAATGACTGACATTTCCACTGGAAAACATGTTGCTGAGAAATAATTAAGTAGCTGTGCTTGATTTATCATCAGCAAGTAAAGAAGGATAGGTATTTATTTTGAAGCATTCAAATCCTTCAAATTAGTGTGGTCACTCCTCATTTCTCACTTTAGTGAAATCAAGATTTATCTTTGCACTAGGAAACAAGGTGCCATGTAATTTAAGCAAGAGGAACCATAATCACTAACCTCTGAGTCAGTGTTACAAATTCAAAAGCCTAAAGTGGGGTGGTAACTGTGGTTCAAAGGAGTAGGGCACCAGCCCCATATGCTTGAGGTGGTGGGTTCAAACCCAGCCCTGCCCCTCCCCCAAAAAGGCTGAAGTAGCAGGAGAAAAAATGGTTCTTTCATCACTTTGGAATGTAAAATATTTAGGGCACATGTTTTTAAAACAATAAATTGGTCTGTTGAAAATTTTCTACCTATTTTCCATTATAGTGATATTCATTAGTACTAAAAGTTAAAATTAAGTAATGAAATTATTTCATTTTGTTAAAAAGTTAATTTGGGAGCCCTGCTGTTATATTTTCTTCAATTTTACTAAATATTGATATCTATGTGCTGTAGATAACAATTTATTTATTGACAGTGTGTTATTAGGATAAATAATGATTTAGTATTTTGAGATAGTTTCTGTAATATCACTGAAGTTTTTTTAAGCAACAATTATTAACACATTAACTGCCACGTCATTTGTATTTAACTTACCTTAGTTTTCAGCCCAGTACCTCATAAAGCAAATATAACTCACATATCCCTTGATCTTTCTTGACCTAATAAAACACCATGGCCCAAGGAAAAAAAATTTTTTTCTAGTGTGGCACTCAATATGTTAAAAGATATTGACAAGATCTTCCCTCATATGCCTCATAATCATTTGGACTTTCAAAACAATCTTTCAATATTAGAAGAATCAAGCTTCCCTTACATCTTTCAATATGTTTTAACACCCTCCATTTGTTTCCTTCTTTATGTCAAATACTCACCAAAGCAATTACCTAATCCATATAGCCTTGAAGTAATTTAGTGAAGTAATTTAACATCTTTTGTATCATAGATAGAAACCAATTTTTAAGACTCTAAAATCAATTGTTTCTTTGTAACTCTCCCAATATCATCATAGAATAATCTACAAGATACAGCTTATGATCAAGGCTAAGTAATTTGTTTTGTGTATACAATATTGACCACTTTTCTAGACATCTCTGTGTTGTAATTACTGTGTCTTGCATCCTGCTATGGTGCACTGCACTCACTTTTACAGAGGCAGTTGCTTCACCCTCAGATATTCATATATAAGAACTAAATGGTGGGGCATTTTTTGGTCATGTGGAAAGGTGGTAATTCACTCAGAATCAACTTCCCAACCTTGTGAAATTCTTCTGAAAGCCTAAAAAGATGAAGTTGTGTTTATGTCCATTTCCCAATGACTTGATGCAAAAGAATTGCTGAAAGTCACAGGTGGCTTTGCTGAAAGGATTATTAAGTTTGGAGCCAGGATTCATTCCAACTAGCTTTACTAACTGGGTAACAAAATTGGAAATGATGTTTTTAGGTGCAAATCTTCATGGATATAGACACTCCTGCAAAATTGGTACATGCTACCAGCTGTATGTGTTCATGGACTACAAAAAAAAAAATGGTTGGAGCTCTTTTTCTGGAATGGCCATCAAAGCTGGTTTTGTATTATCCTTTTTGCTGTGAATACCACCAAAATATCTTTCTTTTAATATTTCCTTTATCTACAGGTAAATAAAAAGTCATGGAGGGCCAAACCAGGTGAGCAGGGACGGTGTTCCAATATTGTTATTTGTTTATTGGGTAAACAGAACCTCACAGAAAGTGCTGAGTAAGCTGACGCATTGTTGGGATGCAAGAGTCATGAGTTATTGGCCAAGATTTTTCAGTTAAGATTTTCCTAACTGTTTATCAATGTTTACATGGTCTGCTATGCTTCTCACAGTGAGCTAATGATTTTGACACATAATTCAACAAATTTTTGCAATATTTCCACCAGTTATGCTTGCTATAGGCTGCCCTAACCTCTCTTCATTAGCAATACTCTCTCTCTCTTCAGAAAAACATTTAATTCATTTTTACACTGCTGTTTCCTTCACACCTTTATTCCCATAAACTTGGACTAACATTTTACTGATATCATTTCCACTCTTGCCAAGTTTAACAAGAAATTTACCTATGTTTTCTTGTTGCTGTAATTCAAGCTCCAATATTCTTATGATGGCACACACAAACACACAACAATTATGAACATCACTCAGCAAGACACTGCCACACATCAAT